CATTGATTCTCGGTAACGCTCCTGCCTTAAACCGCTGCATTCTGGGCACACACAAAGTGGCGGTAAAATGTGAGAGTAAAAAGAAAATATTAACATCCCCCTTTAAGTAATGGCTCAGCTCAAAAACAGAGGTGAACTGTGAGGTGAACGTCGATTTTACAAACAAAGGAAAACCAGAGGCATCTGGTTCTTTCTTACTAAAACACCGGCGGGAAGGATGACCAGGGCCCAGTCCGTGCTGTGGGATACACACCCATTCCCTGAATGGATATTACTTGTGGAATGTGAAACCGGTCGAGTTGAACTTTTTAAAAAATGAGAACTCGCCTGTAAACCTCTGTACATTTTCAGGGTTTAAAAATCTTATTTTATCTAGATCACGGCTCTTTGGGTCTTGGAATCAAAAGTTATTTCTGAGCGCTAAACAAATATGAAAAATGTGAGTCTGGCCTCAGTCTTGCGTTCCACTGCCAGGCTGGGGGTTCACTCCAGAGGCCAGACATGTGTGAGTCTTTATTGCCTGGATGCCACCGTGTTCCTGGATGAGGCTGTGAACTATAAACTTATACAACTGAGGCCCCACCTCGGGGGACACTCAAGGGAACATTTTATCTGGAAGTCTGATCTCATCAGTTCTGGGATTCATTTCCACACTGCCAGAAGTAATAAGCATGGGCGAAAAAATGTTAACACACCAATATTATTTTCACCCATTTTTATATTCTTCTTATTATGTCTACGGCTTAGAAAGTCAAGAGTGTTTTTGCTACTGCACTCTTAAATAATGAAAATACAGTTATAGCAAAAGAATCTGTATTATATAAACTTCTGTTGGTTTAAAGGGATTACATTCACAATTTTCAAACTTGGAATCGGTTCTATAAAACTGGATTTACTCTGAAAGAAAATAATCTGATAAAACCTGGCCATTTTTATGTACCACAGGGAGTTTTAGCTGGGGGCTAAATCCGTTAAACACATTGCCATCAAGTTGATTCCGACTCATAGCGACCCTGTAGGACAGAGGAGAACTGCCCCCATAGGGTTTCCAAGGAACGGCTGGTAGATTCGAACTGCATACCTTTTGGTTAGCAGCCGAGCTCTTAACCACTATGCCACCAGGGCTCCAGTTGGGACTGGAGGGAAGCAAAGACCAGCCTGCAGTGGTGGGAAGAAGCACTGCAGGAAGCAACTGGAGTGAGCCCAGTAAACTCAGGACCCATGCACCAGCGATACTAGCAAAGAGGCAGGAAGGACGGCCAACCCATCAAGATCAAGGCAGGGAGGCAGACTAAAGGGGTAGCCCCAGGCGAGAAAGTTAGTGATAAGGGAGCCCTAGCAGGCTATCTGTACCATTCTTCTTGTTTGGTGCAAAGTCATTGAAAATAAGCATTCTAGATATATGTCTAGTCAGACAACGGTATCAAAGAAAAATGGGTAATCAATAGCCAATCTGGCCAGATTTTGCTTACATTACCAGTCTTGGTTAACAGTTTTAGCAATTACAAACATTCTACGTACATGGGGTATGTGCACACACCTCCACAGAAAGGGTGGAAGGCGGCAAGTTCCTATAGGGTGGGCCTAGGTCTTCTGACCAGGTCAAACCGCACTGATCAAACCTGAAACCTAAAGTAATATCCAGACAATCCATGGAGGGAAACAGCTGATGGGTCCCACAGGGAATCTCTCTGCCTTGAAGTGAGGGCAGGGCAGAGTGGGTGGGAAAGGCTTCATCTGGCCCCACTGGGGAGACAAGGGAAGACAGTGGTGAGGGAACCCAGCAGGCAATCAGCACCATTTTTCATGTTCCCCTCCTATTTTCCCTCCTCAGCAGATTATTGGCCAAAGAAAATATGTTTTCACTACAAGAAGAGTCATAATGGTGAGTCATCGTCATGTTAACAGTCTTTATATAGTAAGCCACACCACTCTCTCTAGGCAGTTAGCAGTGAAACCAACACAGAAAATGCCCAAGGACTTTATATTCATGGCCTCCAGAGCAGTAGTTCTCAAAATACTGTGGTCCCCAGGCCAGCACCATCAGCCATCACCTGGGAGCTTGTTAGAAATGCAAACTCTCAAGTCCCACCCCTGAACCTGTTGCCAGTGAGTTGATTCTGACTCATAGCGACCCTACAGAGCAGAGCAGAACTGTCCCATAGGGTTTTCTAGGTTGTAATCTTTACAGAAGCAGACTGCCACATCTTCCTCCCACGGAGCACCTGGTAGGTTCCAACCGCTGATCTTTCTGTGAACAGCTGAGTGCTTAACTGTTGTGCCCCTAGGGCTCCTTATAAATAGGAAAGCTTATAAATAGGCAGGACCTTATAAACAGGGTCCCAGCCTAGACCTAGTGAATGAGAAACTCTGGAGGCTGGGCCTGGCAACCTGTGTTTTAACAAGCCTCCAGGTAATTCTGATGCAAGCTAAAATTTGAGAACACTGGCCTAAGAGAAAGAAGCCGGGATGGGAGCCAGGAGACCTAATTCAGACTCCAGCTCTGGATCCCATGGTCCAACAGTGAAATTGGATGAATAGTCATGGTGTACCTCTTTGTGCATTGAGACTGACGTAAGGACCTGAGAAGCTGCAGAAGAGACAGACATGGTCCTTATCCTCAGAGGACGCATGATCCTCTATATTCTTTTGCTCCTCTAGGTTAGGGACTATCGCTGTGGGTCTTTTTTTTGTTTCATTTTTGTATTCCTAGTGCCTGCAGCACCACAGGCACTTGATAAGTATGCAGCAGATCAAGTTGTAGAACCATTCACGACTGTGATAAATGCTATGGTACCATTCATCAAAAATCTTAATCTTCCTCCAGTCTAGTTAACACTAGTCACTATTTATTCAATGTGTATTGTATCCTGGGTGCTGAGTGTTCCTCATACATCAACTCATTAAATCCTTTCAGACATCCTGTGTTGTGGGTATTTTTGGTCCCACTTTGCACATCAGAATATTGAGGCTCAAAATACTATGTAATTTGTCCAATGTCATACAGCCAGAAAGGGGCAGAGCCAGTGCTGAACCCAGAACTACCTTATTCCAAAGCTCATGCCCTTAAGCAGGGTGGTGTTCTTTCTAAAATCCCCCAACCTCAAAAACCAACTTTGGAGTAGATTACTAGCCTGTAAAGCTGGTAGTCGATTATTTTCTCACCATTTACTTACAACCGCACTTGGGAGGCATCACCCTAAGTGGTCAAAGACTACGGAATTACCAAGTACTAGTAGAACTACAGCACTAGTATCTACACTTTAGGATTTCATGGGCCAGAAAGAAAAGTTTAAAGTGAGTGATAGATACAGTATTGCCAACTTCTTATTTTGCCTTTCCTTACTGCTGATCATTATCACCATCATTTCCTACAAGTTAAAGAAAAAAAAGATATAAAAAATGCACAAGGGATATAAGTTTAGAATAGAGGACAGTCTATTGCATTACATTTATTTTCTTATATACAATGATTATATCATCCTTCTTTTCCTCATTGTTCTATTGATTGGATTTGTTTCTCCCTGCACTCAAGAAAGTAGACAGTCATAGGGAATTACACTAATACCTTACTAATACATCACTAGGGACCTTTATGGTTCAGTACTAGAATTCTTGCCTTCCATACAGGAGACCTGGGTTCGATTCCCCGCCTATACACCTCAAGCACAGCTACCACCTGTCTTTCATCAGAGGTTTGCATGTTGCTATGATGCTGAACAGGTTTCAGCAGAGCTTCTAGGATAAGACAAATTCAGAAGAAAGGCCTGGTGATCTACTTCTCCCCCAAAAAATCAGTCAATGAAAACCCTATGAATCACAATGGTCCAATCTGCAACTAATCATGGGGATGGTGCAAGACCTAGCAGTGTTTTGTTATTGTGCATGGAGTCACCATGAGTCAGGGTCAACTTGATGGCAGCTAATAACAACAATATTTCACTTAAAATTCAGGCCAATACCATTACTGAACTTTTTGATCGAAGATTCTACATAAGAATACTGATTAAAAGGGAGGGTGGGGGATATGGACCAGAATTTCAAATTCTCATGGAATCTAGACTTTCTGGAGCCATTGGGGCTGGATGAAGCCCCAAAACAATTGCCTGAGGTAATCTTTAAACCTTAAACCAAAAATATCCCCTGAAGTATTCTTTAAACCAAACAATGGTTTAGCTTAGTTAGTAAAGACTGTCTGCTTTGAGCATTGTGCTCTTTTAAAGAATTATCTACATAGGATCAAACTGGTAAAAGCAACTCAAAATGTCAGATAAGAAGCTTGGTGGGGGGCAGTGAGTTTATGTTAATGGGGAAGGAACAATTCAGAAAAGGAGGATGAGAATGGTTGCACAACTTGAAGAATGTAATCCACGTCACTGAATTGTACATGTAGAAATTGTTGAATTGGCATATGTTTTGCTATGTATATTCTCAACGACAACAACAAAAATCAGGTGAAAACAGCTTAGAAGAAGATTAAAAGTGGGCACCCAGGACAGGCCAGGGAAGCCTTGAGAGGGTGTGGGCTGAGAAGGCCAGTTTCAGGGCGCTAAACCTTGGGTGGAGTATCCCATCCAAGGCAGGCGGGGGAGAACAGGTCTGCAGTGAGTCTAACCCCACACCCTAAGGCCTGGGGAGGCTGAGCTGTGGACATCACATGGTGGCCCAGCACCAATGTCAAAGGCAGATGAGGCAGCAAACAGAAGACCCTGCTGAAGTCCTAAAGTCAGCCCAAGGCCCTGGTGTATGGGAAACTACAGCCTCTGATTAAATAATGGCTCTTCCTTCCCCCCTCGCCATTTTGGATACCTTCGTGCTCTTCCCCATCATCCTCATTAATTTGATTAATTTGACATCTGTGATCTATGATTTTCTTGTAAATGACTCAGGGCCAGGAGGGATCTGGTTGGGTTTGCTGGAGGCCCAGGAGCTACTGGAGTTAGTTAGAGAAGGCTGCAGGTACCGAGTGTAAGAAAAGGGCTTTTAAGCAAAGACCTTACCTTACTAGGAGGTGGCCCATGGTCATCCAAGTAAGTGGAATTTCCTAGGGAAAAAAAAAAAAAAAGAAGAAGTCGTTGAATCATTTCTTAAGCCCAAAATGAATTTAATGCAAAGTCACTGAAAATAAGCATTCCAGATATATTTCCAGTCAGGCAACCATACTAAAGAAAAATAGGTAATTCATAGGCAATTTGACTAGATTTTGTTCACAGTACCATTCTTGGCTAATCAGTTTCAGCAATTACAAACATTTCATATATATGGAGTGTATGCACACAAACGTACACACACCATTATTCCTCACCCAAGATCTGCTGAGTTTACCTTATAACAACGATTATCAAACTGCGGTGTGCGTCAGATTTACCTTCAGGGCTTGCTAAAAACTTACATAGCTTGGCTTCATCCCCAGAGTTACTGACTCATTATCTCTGGAAATTGGCATTTCTAACAAGTTCCCAAGTGATGCTGACGCTGCTGGTCCTACAACCGCACTTTGAGAACCACTGCACTCCGTTTCTCCAGTCTGTCTCTGAATGTTAATTTCCCTTTGCCTTTTCAGTCTAGCTTGGTTCCAAAGCTAGATCTGTCTTCACTAATACCCACCTGGAGTCCCTGGGTGGCACAAACGGTTAAATGCTTGATTACTAGCCTAAAGGCTGGCAGTTCTAACCCACCCAGAGGTGACTCGGAGACAGGCCTGGCGATCCGCTTTGGAAAGGTCACAGCCTTGCAAATCCTATGGAACACAGCTCTACTCTACACACAGGGGTTCGCCATGAGATGGAATTGGCTCGACAGCAACTACAGCAAATAGCCACTTATCGGCATCTATGTTCTCAGAGTGCATGGCTATTGTTTCCTGATGAAGAAGAGACACAGAGGGTTAGAAGGGGAACTCAAGTTTATTAAGTTCCTTTTATGTACCAGATACTTTACTAAGTGCTTTACAGGAACCCGTTCATTTAATTCAAATATCAGAGGTGGGTTATAATTACAAGAAGTCCTCTGATTACAAACGAGTTCCACTCCTAAATCTGTCTTTAAGTCAAATTTGTATGTAAATTGGAAGTTAGGTATTCTTTGTATCAAATGTTTGTCTTCGTACAGAGTGTCCTGGTGGCGCAGTGGTTAAGCGTTCAGCTGCTAACCAAAAGGCTGTCAGTTCAAATCCACCAGCCGCACCTTGGAAACACTATGGGGCAGTTCTGCTCCGTCTTATAGGGTTGCTACGAGTCGGAACTGACTCAATGGCAACAGGTTTTGGTTTGGTACCTTTCTATGCATAAAAAACATTAAAGAAACACTTCCAGATACACTGAAACATCTTTAACGTAATAATACAGTAATAATAATAAAAGCCAGAAAAATGAACAAATCTGTCTTGGAAGAAGTACAGCCAGAATGCTACTTAGAAGCAGGATGGCAAGACTTTGTCTCATGTACTTTGGACATATTATCAGGAGGGACCAGTCACTGCAGAAGGATATCATGCTTGGTAAAGTAGAGGGTCATCGGAAAAGAGGAAGACCTTCAAGGAGATGGATTGACACAGTGGCTGCAACAATGGGCTCAAGCATAACAACAATTGTGAAGATGGTGCAGGACCGGGAAGTATTTCGTTCTGTTGTACACAGGGTCGCTATGAGTTGGAACCAACTCGACGGCAACTGACAACAAAAAGAATAGTAACAATAATAATGTTTTCATGCACATCGCAAAGTAGTACCTGTTTGTTATTACAAACCACTATATGTACCTCGAATTTTTAATATAATAGGCTTTATGGGGTTGGTTCCTAACTCTGTCCTATAGGGTTGCCATGAGTCAGAATCGGCTGGACATTAGGTATTATGATTAAAGAAGTCACTGAGTGGCTCAAATGGTTAAGCGCTAGGCTGTTAACTGGAAGGTTGGAGGTTCAAGTCCACCCACAGGCACCTAGAAAGAAAGGCCTGGCAATCTACTTCCAGAAGGGCACAACCATTGAAAATCCTATGTGCAGTTCTACTCTAAAACACGTGGGGTCAGTGAGTCTGAATCCACTTGACAGGAACTGTTTTGGGTTGTTGTTGTTATGACGAATGTTATTATTACCCCACTCAGCCTCAGTGGAGACACAACATCCAATTGGTAAGACTTCTTTACAGAGACGAACATAAACTCCCATCCTACTATTTTCATTAGTAAGCAAAAGTGACCCTCACTGGTACAGGCCTGAGTCCTATGGCATGTTGTTGACTCAGTGTACAGTTAAATCCTTCGTTAGTTTTAAATGCAGAAAATGCTGAAACTGAGGAAAGAGAACAGTGTATCACAGCAAAATGGTCAATTACACTCCTTTTTTATTCAGTGTTTTTATTTTTTTTTTTGAAAAAAGGACATTGATTTAAGGGTTATCCTAACAGTCTTGTATACTAAATTATTTCCTTGGCTTAGTAAATAAATACATTGTTGGCGTTTTACTGAGTAGACTTAAGTCCTACCTCAAAATCTAGCACTGAAGACCATGGTCACCACAGTTTCAAAACAATGATAATGAATGGTTTGGGCAACACTGTTACGCTGATAGGCACCAGTTTCCCTACCCTCGTGGTTAGGCATTCTCTCATTCATTTATTTAGTCACCATTTACTGAACACCTACTATTCTACAGAAGAATCTAGAAACCCATTAAAAAAATGAAATTCCTATTTTTGCCACTGGACTGTATAATGATCTTTACTGAGTGCTTACTATGGGCCAGGTGCTTTACAAGGATTGCTTTACCTCACAACAACCCCATGAGGTGATACAAGTTAAGCACTTCACAACAGCAACACAGCCTATAAACAATTTGGCAGAATTCAAGCCATACAGTCTGACTACTGCTTATATTGCTTGCTTGATAAAATGCAACAGTGTTTAAGATAATTCATTATTTTCCTGTCTTCCTTCTTCTCTTCGTCCTTCCTCCCTCCTTCTCTCCTCCATTCCTTTCTTTTTCTTATGGAAGACTTTCATAGTCAGATGCCATGACACAATTGAGTCGTCACTCTTGAACACTTCTTTCTGCAAGAACAAAGGATCAGGGCTTGCCACAGTCCCCGTTATCTCCACCAAGAGATCACCCTGCTCCCCTCTGCCCACCAGGCAGTTTATTACGCTACTGAGGCCATAAGTGCCGCACACTTGTAACAGAGGCACAGAAATGGAAAAGAAAAGCTACACAAAATGAAAGGTATTTCTTTAGCCGGAAACAGTATTTCTCTTTTCCTAGGCTATTTGGACCAATAAGCAACATCATGAAAAATGGAAAAAATACTGACAGTGTCAAGGATTTCGTTTCACTTGGCTCCACCATCAACACCAACAGAAGCAGCAGTGAAGAAATCAAACGATGTATTGCCTTGGGCAATTCTGCTGCAAAGACCTCATTAAAGTGTTGAAAAGCAAACATGTCACTTTGAGGACTAAGGTGCACCTGAGCCAAGCCATAATATTTTCAATCGCCTCATACGCATGTGAAAGCTGGACTATAAATAAGGAAGACTGAAGAAGAATTGATGCCCTTGACTCACAGTGCTGGCGAAGAATATTAAATATACCATCCACTGCCAGAGGAACCTATAGGTCTGTCTTGGAAGAAGTACGGCCACAGTACCCCTTGGAAGCAAGGACGGTGAGACTTCATCTCATGTACTTTGGACCTGTTATCAGGATGGACCAGTCCCTGGAGAGAAGGACCAGTCCCTGGAGAAGCACATCATGCTTGGTAAGGTAGAGAGAGGTCAGGGAAAAAGAGGAAGACCCACAATGAGATCGATTGACACAATGGCTGCAACGATGGGCTCAAAACATGGCAACAATTGTGAGAATGGTGCAGTACCAGGCAATGTTTCATTGTGTCGTACATAGGGTTGCTATGAGTCAGAACCAACTCGATGGCACCTAACAACAACAACAGGGTATTTGGTATCTAGGTAGAGTTTGTCATCTTAGGATCTTATGCTTTCATAGTGCCAAGTAAACAAAACTGTTACAGTTTTTAAAATGAAGTTAGTAACTTGTTAGCTGTGGATATCAAAAAGTAAGCACAGTTATTAAGACAAACTTCCCCCAAGAGGCTCCCAGGCATCACAGAAGCCTCGCACTGCTCTGCCTTGTAGAAGGTTCTATGGAGGGTGTTTAGTTGTGGCGAAGAAAGATCAGATCCAAGCTTTCCAGCCTTTGGGCGTAGAGCTGGAGCTCAAATTCAAGGAAGGGAAGAAAAGGAGGAGGAGGGCTGAGGAAGGGTCTGGAGCCAGGACCGATGACAGCATCCACTTAGCCCCCACCTCCACTTTCCCCGTGAACATCTTCTGTAGACACACAGTCTCAGATCCCAGTCACAGCAGTGTATTCTCGTTTCTGGAGGGCTTCCATAAAGTAATCCACACCTTTAGGGCTCTGATTACAGCTTCCTTTTCATGTCTCAAGTCCTTCCTTTCAGGATCAAGAATTACAGTATCTTGTCAAGCTGGAAAAAAAGAAAGGCATGTACCCCGCATGTCTCCACTCCTACCACCGATCAGACTTTCAGAAGGGCCTGTCTTCCATCTGCCAAAAAATCACTAGCTGGGGCTAGAGCAAAGCTAAACCTCTTACAGAAACTTAAGCTTGTCCAGACTGCTCAGGTAGGTGGAGCAGCGAGCAGGTGGCTAAGGACTCGAAGCAACACTCCGCCCCGCCAAGCTCTATGCCGCCCTTCTATATCCTGATGGTGGTGGTGCTTACATGACCCTACTCATGTGTTAAGACTGACAGAACTATGCACCAACCACTACCAACAAAACACTAGGGGGTTAAGATTTTTTTTTAATGCCCTGCACTAGAAGGCAAGTGATCTCAGACTCTAACCAGCTTAACTGCAATACAGTGCAATCTAAATTTCACCCTACTCTTTCAGCCCTTCAAAATGGAGACCTCTCAGGGAGGTTGTATATATAAAATGAGAGATGGTGTGTCAATGTGAGAGGTGTTAATCCACAGTGCATGGCAGTTATACTTTCTGTGCACTTTCTG